AGTACGCCAAATAATTCTGTTGTCCTTAGGATCTACAAGTAAAGGCAAGACGATCCTGCGTAAATCCAAATAGGCATAACAGGCTTGTCAAATTTTCTAGTTAAGTCATATGGTCACATAACTTGAAACACACACACACACACACACAAGAATGCATGTACGAACTCATATCTCTGCCCCAAGTGATAGGTAATCTCTCACATGTCCTATGAGATGGTTGTGTTTTTCCTGTGTTGTTCATACATTTGTACGATCATCAGCAGAGATCGTTTCGCTGACTGCTGGTCAATAAGCGTGTAAAACTAGCCAAAATGTCATCTTAACAAAGAAAAAAAAAGAAGAAATTCTGCAGAAAAAAGGCGGCTAGTAAAACAAACTACAAAGGTACATATTGGAATATGTACATCTTTACCCACACGATCCTTCGTCACATTGTTTCTTCACTCACCGCGCGTTCCGCTTGCGTGTTTGTATGTCCTTTATTGGCCTTAGCAATTCGGTTGTGTCGGCGCGTTAAGTGAGCTACTTCTATGTCATTTCGCAGCATTGCGGCTTCTTTTTGATTTTTTTTATTTTTCCTCCTTACTTTTTTTTACGTATTGCATACAGCGCACATGGACATGTTCAAGTGGCAGCCAACCTGTTGTGCAACGTCTTTATTATTTACAGTTTAACTGCAAGTAGCTGAAGAAAGTGGTTTACCAAACCTGCGGGCGTGCATTGTCTTACATAATACACGAAAGTACTCCCTACAAGTATGTATGTGGCGATTTGACACTCGTTTTGCGGCTATAAATTTGAATTTACATGTTTTCTTAAGTGGCTCGTGGGTACCATGTACCCGAGGTGCTTCAAAATTATTCATGGATTATGTTATAAGTAGGTATATAGTGTCGCATAGCATTGGTTGTAATATTGACAGAAGTGTCAAATCACTAATTTTCCAGGAAGAATGGGTGAAATTTTGTCACAGCATGCCGCAGTATTAAAAAAAGTCCTACTTTTGGGCATTCAATGTATGTATGTAGAAGTAATTACATATTAAATTACATATATATATGAATAAAGATAAGTAAAAATTATGTGCTTACTTTCACTCGGTCCAAAAGTATCAACTCACTAACACTAGCTAATAGCTGTTAAGCTATAGCGAAAAACACTGCGTACCAAGAACGAAATTCCGCAGTCGCCAGATATCAATTATTCCCAGTAAAAAACGCAATCCAAGGTGTTTAGACTGCAGCCTCGCAAAAGTTAGCCAGCTTAAGAGAAAATTATCTAAGCAGCTGCCGCAATGAGGACCTGATGTGTTCGTTCCCACGACAGTCTGGTCTACGTAACCGGAACGACCCAGATTTATATCTGGTCCAGGACTGTCACTCCAGTCCTCCCCAAAACTCCAAAAACTCTTTGAGGAATTTGTATGCTGTTACAACAACAACGGGACCTGATGTGATATTTAGTGTGTCCGGGAGTAAGCCGATTGGACCGTATGCTGTGAACACAACCACCAGAATTGCGTGTTTCGACTTCACAGGCTTCAGATGATCCCTTAACCGCTTCCGGCCTACTCTCGGTCAGAAAAATCTTACAGTTGCACATGTCCTGGTTTACGTCCCGCATTCGTCCAAAACTTTCTCGGTGAGACCGACTGACGTACGCCTTTCCTTTTGGATGCGTCCGAAAAGCAGTTACCTGCAGTGTCATCATAGCCTGGTATCCATATATATATGTATGTAAGTCTAACTAGAAAAATTGAAGCGCAACTTAAAGATAAGTCAGACATTCTTTACTCCCTTTGAAACCATGGTGAGTGAGACCAAGTTCCTATTGCCATTTGTCTATGCGAATAGAAGTGTGTATTTTCGAAGAGATGCGAGCGGGTTTCCAAACACTTTAGAGCAGCTTGGCTGTTACTGCAGACCTTTTTCCATTATACTTAAAAAAAGTAAAGCACCTAAAGTTACCCTCGAGATGACGCCCACCTCTAGTTCCATTATCAGTCGGTATAGAAAACTTTTACCGAGCGTCCTATAAGGGAGTCTAAACCCCTTCGTTGCTCCCTTGTAGGAAAATTCGCGAAACTTATACGGCGGTGTAAAATGACGTTAAGTAAAGTATTTCTGGTCATCAAGAAAACAATATCAACGCATTCGCGCCTCGGCTTCAGTATCACTATTGACCGTTATACTTACAGGATAATACCGATTAAGATAATTGAAATTGCGCATATGGGAACTGTGCCATTATTTCGGATTCAACCGAAAGTGTTGAAGCATGCACTATTTCGGTTTTTTAGTTTTTTTGTTTCTTTTAATTTTTAGATTGTAAAGAAAATTAAAAGAAAAAATTCAGGTCGTCCTGGGGTTGGGCCGCAAGTGAGTTAAACTGACCGGAATTCGATTTTTTTAAATGAGACATACAAGTTTTTACTACTGATTCGGATTTTGAGGATCAAAATACGTAACTTTTGTTGCAAACTTTTTTCTAGGAAGTGCCTTTTTCAATTTTTTGGACGTATTACTGACTTTTGGTTTTGCCGGATGTGGCTTCAACTGACCGGAAGTCCTGTTTTTAATATGACCCTCATATTTTTAACACAGATTCAGATTCTGTGGACAAAAATACATAACTTTTGTGGGAAACCTTTTTTTGAATTATCAAATTTTTAGAAACATTGAATTTTTTATTTTTTTATTTCTAGGCTCCGTTTATAAATATTAAAACTTTTTTTGATAAAATTTTTATAAACTTAAATTTTTTACTTTTCTTAAATTCTATTTGTTTTCTTTCTACACAATTTTTTTTAATTGTTAAATTTTATTTTTTTTTTTTAATAAAAATATATCGAGGCCTTATAATCAATATTATCTATCCGCAATTTTCACAAATATTAAATTCTGATATAAAAATCTACTTAAGACTTATGTAACTGTCATCGATAATATTACTGCTGACCTTATGTATATACAGTGGTCCACAAAATAATAGGAGTGCGTTATTTTGGTCAGTTTTTGCTATTTGTCTTTTGTTTATTTAATGTTTATTATTTTTATACAAAAGTCAAGCTGGGTATACAACAAACAACGAATAAATTCAGATTTCAACCTTTGTACAAAAATTATTAAAATTCTGTAAATTTTCACCAAAATATCAAACTTTTTAATCAGAATCTTCAGAGAAAATTCTGGTATGCATGAAAATTGTCGAACATACTTTGTATGGAAAAAACGTGAAATACCTTCCACCGAAAAAATTCTCAAAAATCAATGGAATTTTTTAGCAGCTTGAAACTTGCACTTCTTCAGACTAGAATTGAATGGGCTACAAAACTGCATACCAACATATTTTCTAAAGATTCTGGTTAAATAGTTTGAAATTTTGGTGAAAATTTGCAGAATTTTTATAATTTTTGTACAAACTTGAAAATGTAAATTTATATGGTGTTTGTTGTATTACCAGCTAGGCTTTTACAAAAAAATACGAAACATTAAATAAACTAAAGACAAATAGCCAAAACAGGTTAAAATATCCTACTCCTATTATTTTGTGGACAACTGTATATGCCCCTTAAATTTTAGTAAGTTTAAATATTTTCATGATATTAAAGGAACTCTCTAAAATACGTTTCTAATGAAACATTGCCTCACCCTTTTAAACTGATCTATGTATGTACATATGTACTTGAAAATATCACCGTTATTTAAAAGTTCCCTGGAAGTGATATGTATGTAGGTTTTCATTATTTCATAAACATATTTTTTCAAGCAAGGCATTGAGGCCACACATTCACTAATATTCACCAGCAAGTGAAAGCACATACCTATTTGTGTATATAGATATGTAAATTCGACAAAAAGTAAAGCATTATTTTAGTCAAAGGGTAGAAAATAAAAAATTGCTTATATTTTTGTTCTCACGGTATATTACAACGCGGTACATACTCGTATGTATGTATGTATGTATGAATGCATGCATAAACCGCAGATTAATCACTACATTTTGTTAACGCTTGCTTCATATAAAACTCATTTGTGTATTGTAAAAAATTACCGAAAATTTCTTTCAAAACTGAAGATGATCCAACTACAAATCAAGTATAAATTACATTTTTATACGTAACAAAAAAGTAAAAAAAAAATAAATAAATTTTAAATACTCGCACATCACTCGCCTGTGTAAACGATCACAAAAGCCACCTATCTACATATGTATGTATGTATGTAAGTAAATACCAACAAAATGAAATGCGGCGAAAAAGTAGGTATGTATGTATAAGAAAATTAACAAATCATAACATCATCATTTATCATCATTAAATGGAGCCAACAAATGTTCTGCGTGCCAATGGACCAATGAACAGATGCATTACAGACACAAACATATCTACATACATACATATGTACATACTTACGTAGATGTTTTGCATGGACACAACATTAAATCAAAGTAAGCCACACGCATGCGTGCACTCCTTTTATTTTTGATTTAGCTGGACTTCAAGTGCAACGAAAATCCAAAAGAAAAAGAAAAAACAAAATGATGATGGCAAGAAAAACCACGCCATCAACTACTCACATCAGCGCCAGCACTTCAAATTGGTGTGAACGCGACCTAAATGCGAGTACTACATATATGCATACACGTAATAAATGAATTGAAAGCCAAAAAGCATCGCCTACATAAGCTAACATACATACATATGTACGGGTACATACATACATACATATATACCCAACATCTAACCAACCAACACGCTTCGGTTATAAATCAATCAAATATTTCGTTGCATAGCCAGCGGCTAAATTTTGCACCAAAAACACAAAACAATAAAAATAAAAACATAGGGCGAATCATGCAATCGATAAGTAAAATACCAAAATACATAAATATGTGCCAGCCAAGAGTCGTACATATACATATGTACACAATTCAAAATCACATACATGAATTATGAAATAAATACATACTAACAGATGAGTACATGAACGCTGTCATAGCATCACCAAAAATGATGTTTTACTTTTCTGAAGTTCACCTCCATACTGTGTGCGTATTGGCCACAAGCCAGCCAACTGTCAACACCATACGTCAAATGCATCGGCACCCCCTCGCCCCCCTTGTCTTTTATCTGATACTCCCAATAACTCCTAGCATGCATTATATGAGTGTAGCACACTACTCGTCATTTGAATAGGCGCCCTTTTGATCCTCAGAATTTACTGTTTTCATTTTGTTTGTTTAATACTTATTCATTGGCCCGTAGTCATAGAGAAGTTAGAAAAAGGGAGGTTAACGATTAAAATTGTGTTTTATTGTAATCACCATTTTAATTCTTTCATAGTCAACTTAAAATGCATTTTATGGCAAAAACAGAATTTTAACTTTAAAATGAGAAGAAAGTGGTAAAATAAGGTTCTAAGTTTTGTTTTGTTGTTGAAGTAGAAAACGCAATAGCACCTAGGTTCGGTCCCCACTCCCAGCGATTCCAAACAATTTTTTTTTTATTTTTTATTTTTATTTTAACATAAACATTATTTTATTTTATTTTATTAAATTTTTTTTGTTATCTTTCTTTTTGTTTATGGTATTTCATATAACTATTTCGTTATTAATCAAGTTTTTTGGAGTTTAATTTTAATTAAAAAGGCCACAACAACTATAATTAAATAACAAAAATTTAAATAATATTTAAAAGAACAAAAAAATATGTAAAAAAAATTATGAAGCCTACTTTTGTGTAGCCTATTCAATTTTAGCTTAATAAAGTGCAAGTTTTAAATGGCGACAAAATAGCATTGAGTTTTGAAACATTTTTACTTTTTTGACGATGTTTAGCATTTTCCAGCCACTCGAAACTCGCACTTTCTTATACTGAAATGGAATGGGCTGCAAGCCTTAATTTTTTTCTCAAAATATTATTAACTTATTCACTCCTGGTCATTAGGATAGGGCACTTCTTTTTTGACTTTTTTTTAAATGTGTACAAAATTTTAATATCGGCTTTAAACGGTTTTTGTTATATAATATGCTTTAGTTTTATAAAAAATTAATAAATACTAAATAAATAAAAGGAAAACTGTAAATACTATGTATCAAAAGGGTGCGCTGTTCAAATGATGAGGAGTGTATTTATGTATTTATATGTGTTTTCCTTAATAGAATATTTATCGAAACTCTAGCGTTAGGGCCGCCAACAAAAACATCAACAACAACACAAGTCGCTCTATCATACGAAACAATGACGCTTTAGCCACAAGCTAAGCTTAACGCTTTTACCTTAAAATTTAATTGTGGGCTTGTGTGCGGCTGTGCCCGCCTTCGCTGTCTTAAAAGTGTAATAAAATACTTTGTGGCTATGAGCTAAACCTCATCTAACCCCAACACAGCTTCAGCCAAGTGTAACACAACTCAGCTCAGCTTAGGATTGGCATGATTTGGAGCGCGAGCGCGTGTATGTGGAAGAGGTGCGAGATCGATTGCATCGCTCATTCAACTCGAAAATTGATTGATGCAGTTTAATATAGCCGCCCTAGACATAAATCAATGGCGTTGCGCCTGGATGAATAGGTACTGTGGCTAATCTAACATACACACACATATGTATAGCACGCAGATACATACATACACAAGTGCAAATGTACAGATGTATGTATGTACATAAATCTAAACAAACTCCATCAGCCTAAGTCTATCCTACCCACTTATAGTATGCCATGTGAAATATGCATTCCAGTTTATATGTATGTGTGTATGTATGTAACTTGACTTGGCAAGCGCTCACCATAAAGATCTTTCATCTGTGTTTAATTAAAATTTCTTTTGTTTGATTTAAACTTAATGAATTGTGTGCGCATTGTTGTTGTTTGTTGTGGTTGTTGTTGTAGTGGTATTATATAATTTTGTCCCACAGCTAACGGCGTCTACATACGACGACGATAGGCCGCATCGAAGCGTGTCGAATGTGTGCTTTAAGCAGCCGTATCTCAATTTGACAGGTGTGGCGCCTTTTAATTACGTAAATATTTACCTCTTAGCTATTTGCATTAAGTTTTTAACTTTGCTTTATCCATACGTACATATATGTATGTGTAATAACTTATTTTAGTAAATTAATTAGTTTTCAAAAAATGAAATATTTGGAATTTCGGTTTTATCCTCAGGGGTGTGTCTAACGAATCGGCGCACAAGGCCTTAAACGGTAAACATTTTTTGGAGAAAGAAAACAAATATTATAGGTTAAGTTGACGAATGAGATATTTTTAAAACTCGTAGATAATAATTCTGTTAGATCTCTGTGTAAGCAGACATGAAATTTCTTTGAGTTCAAATTTTTCACTTTTAGATTTTTTTCTCATTTTTCTTAAGGAGATTTGACCCTCACGCATTGCTAAAAGTAGCCGGAAAAGCTGGCCATGATTAGAAAACTATATTTTTTGCAATACCACAGGCGTTATTCGATAAAGAACACCTCAAAGCGGACTACCTCGAGTGCTTCAACGAGACGTTCAAACTGGGAAAAGATAAGCTGAAGTATTTTTTATTGAAGTAATTTTATTCGTACACCCGGACAGGGATAATATTGCGCCAGGATTGTATTGTAGATTTCCAGTGTTCATTGTTTTATATTAGGGATATTCACGATCCGCATACTGTCTATTACTGTATGTTATGTATAACCTCAACGAGCGGTCGTTAGAAATATGGAGCGGATGAAATTTTATTCGAAAATTAACATAGCCGATGTATTATTAAATGAAAAATTTTAATGAGAATCTGATTTTGGCTACTTTGCACTTGTGGTGAGTACAGATATCACGACACTCCACTATAGGTAATTTGATCAGTTTATGTAGCCAAAAGTCGGTTTTCGTACTTACTAAAGTAAACTTTTTGTCCTTGGTATTTGATAGACAAAACGTCAAACCAAACAAGTGTCTTCTGTTTTTTTCGTAAAAAAAAACGAACGAAAACTTCTTAGCAGGTGGTCAAATTCGTTGTCTGTGAGTGAAATATTGGAACCGATTTTTTGTTCTGTTTTTTAGCTTTTATCGAACAACCATATTTAAGTTAATAATTATCTAAAAACATTACCAAAATATAGCTATAAATAGAAAAGTAAGTACTTGAAAGATCTATAACTGTTTTGTTTTATAGATTTTTTTTTGGAGTAAAAAATGCATACTTCCGGTATACCCTTTATTAATATTTTTTCTCAAAAATTACATTTGAATATGCTTTTAAAATGTTGGCCGTATTTGGGCGTGTTAAGACTATCGAAAGTGTGAAAAATGAAGAATTTTGAGTTTAACCTGTCAATTTTATGTTGCTATTTTTTGTGCTTTTTGAGAAAATGGCAATTTTTGTAACTATTGCTTATACTGTCAGTAATGTACTATTTGGAGGGGAGAACTCAATAAAGAGGAAACAAAATCCTATGTTTGTTGCTGCTTAACTTACAGCAGGAAAATTACGAAATTTAGAGCATTCAGGTTCTCAATTGAAATTAGTATAATTTCGCAATATTTTTTTAAAATTAGCCACTCTATAAATTGCATTTGTAACTAGGTTGACTTTTTTCTTCAATATAAGTAATTAAAAAAAAAAAAGTGTATTCAAACTTTTCCAATAAAACCACAAATTAAAAAGTTACCCCTTATGACCCATCGCTCGTCAAGGGTTAAGATTTTTTTTTTCAAAAATGTGCTAAATCGTATTCCAGTCAATAAAAAGTTCTATTTTATTAAATCATCCACTTCTTTGGCCACAATTAATTTAGGCCACGAAAATGGGCACAATTACCTATAGTGCACTCCTTTGGAAAAAATTACAAGCACAATCCTACGATAATTCAATTTTAAACACAGAAATTAATCGTAGAAGAATTTTGGAAAGATTGTTGAGAGTTTATTAAAAAAATACAAATCTAAAAAACGAAAATGTTTAGCAAAAAAAAAAAGGTTAACATTTTTGTTTTTGTTTTTTTGGTTTAATGAAAATGGAACCGAAAAAACTGCCCTCCTCGGCGAAAAAGTGGTAGAACTCCGTCAAACGAAAATTATGATGCCATGATTTGGACTTAACCTTGAATATCCGGGCGATGCCGATCTATTTGTAGACTATGATTACGCCTCTAATGTAATTTTAAAATTCTCTTAATTAAATACACTTTCATTAACCCAAAAACAGCTTGTTTCAATGCCCGAAAGCTCTTCAGGGTTTGGTCAGGATTCCAAGTCATCATCATCCTGGCAGCTGCAAAAGGAGGAACCCGGGTAGACACCTAACCTTACCGCGAGAAAACCAATCGCACAGTGGCCTGTCAGCACGCCGCACGTTTTATGTCGAGCCCACCAGTAGAAGGCCCCTTCACCTTCAAGTTTAATACATCAGTGAAAAATTTCATTGCTCCCTTCCTCCAGTTCTCGGGCTTACTCACCATCACATGAGAGCATGTAGCTATAATGGAAGCTACTGGAAGCACTTCGGAAATGATGAAGGCTACTTACTTACGATTTTCCACCGCAACCGTTTACTTTCCGTGAAGTATTTTTTCACCACAGCGTCATTATTTATTTATTTATCTACTATGCTCATGTCTTTATAAAACTCGTATTGCTCGTAATTCCAACTACTTCGGAGACATTTAGCCACTCGAACAGGGCCACAGATCTTACGTAGAGTAATACCCTCGGAAGTGCTCGAAGCATTCTCTCTTTGTTTGACATCGTCGATGTGTCTGCGCTGTCTTGCGCCTTTACGAGTGTACAAAGACTAAAACTCGCTTAAAACTAATGCTCTATGTTTAAGATTTAAGCATAGTCCGCCATTTACTTTGTAGGTCTAAGGACCTACTAACGGTCCTAACCTAACTTAATATCGCACATGCCTCTAAGTTCTAGCCTTATTCCCTAAAGAAATAATTGACACCGATATCTAATAAATATGAAATTTCCTACGGCCTTTCCACAAAACCGTCGTCAACGAGAACGAATCCAATAAAATATTCTCAA